TGTTAGATTAAGGATCTAAAAGACAAACACACAGCGAGGAGATAAGTTTCACTTTTGGTTCTTCTAAACTGACACTAGGAGGTGCTAAAAGCAAGCCAAACTGCCTAGTATGTCTTTAAAGTGAGACTAAACAGTTTCCTGCTTCTTTGCCCTACTGATTGAAAGTGGAATTACAACTGTTGTAAACAACCCTGCAGCAGCCTGCTGTAGCTAGTGCTAACAACAAACTAACACTAACATGAGCCAACAAACACGAAATAAGCAAAAGTCACAAAGTCAAAATATCCACACTGTTGGACAAAAGAATATTACTTACATGTCTAGTAGCAACAAAGCCAGGCCATCATCAGTCCATGACTTTGGATCCTCCTTCAGCTCCCTTAAGCAAGTGTAGACCACACCAATGTTCACTCAGGCTTTAGCTTTTTGCTTTGCCTCCAAAGAAACAACTTTATTACTTTTACTTCCAGGCTCCAACATTAAGCCAACAAATAAAGTAAAACCCATCTTTTTATTGTACATTTTATTGATGGTCAGCAAACTATAAAAGCAAACATCTAGCCTTTATATTTGCTATTGGCACAGAAAACTGCTAAATCCTGTAAAGCAGGTTGAGAGCTCTGCCTAATTTAACTGTTAAGTTTGGTTTCTGGTCAGCAGAGGGCTGTACAATCTAAAGTTGGGGAAGTTTGTACCTCAAGATTCACCGAAATCCACTTTTAAAGGAATAGCTTAAAGAGTTCAAAACTCTTTCATGTTGCTTTTAAAGAAAACAACAGAGGGCGTACGTTATAATTAGGTTGTTGAGCAGTGTCAGAGTGATGTAACTTAAACTGTTGTGTATTTGCTTTTTAAAAGTCTGGTGTGAGCCCCTATCATTAGGCTGCATTCATGCTGGACAGAATGTTTAGTTGAACAAAGTTTAAAAGAAGCTCGGGACGTCTATGTGGTCCATCCTTGTGCAGCATGTGGCGAAATGTAATTATCGGCAGTTTGTCCATATAAATAACAAAAATTACTTCTTTATAGTGATGCATTTGACTATTTTATTTTACTTGAAATAATGAAATTTATCAGCTACATGTAATTCAGTAATGTAAGAGCTGAAGTGATCACAGAAAACCTGTCGTGTCTCACTGATTAGCCTGGTTTGTCTGTGGGGAGGTCACAAACAAGTCGCAGGCATGTTTGGCTCATGGGAAGATGCACGATCCTGGCTTTCTATTCACCACCACATGGTAGACACATTTAGGATTCTTTACAAGTGTAATTCATGGGATTGTAAAGAATAAGTGTTGAACTCAGTGACCAGTCACCATTTAGAGCCGCCAACAGAAATGATCTAAACCATTTTTTAAGAAGTTTATCAGTCTTTTGTCATTTTTGCCATAAATAAAGTTCCACAAAAATGTATTTTTGAGGTAAAAAAAACGAATTCAAGAGCGTAAATTAAATTACACTAGTCTTAGACGAGCTGAAACGCTTTAGATGTTTGATATTTTTAACTTGAGAACAGCATGTTCTCATTGGTCAGCGACTACTTAAAGCATCAAGAAACAGGTTAAATGTGTCTTCAGCAGCCCATGATTTCACTCAAATGTCAACATAAAGTCACTTTCCTGACAATGATCCTGTTGAGTCCAACATCTTTGGTTTCTTTTTTAAGGGCTGTTTTTTTGATTTTACAGAAAGGTGTGGAGTTTTATGTGTGGAATACAAATATTGACCTACCTTAGCATTTGCACAAGCACACAGAGATGTGTCTTCATGAGGGAAAGTCATTAGTTTAGGTTGATGCAATGCTCACACAAATGAGAGATAACAGTCTAGTGCAGGAGAGCCAAAACGTTTAAAGACAAGAGCCAAAATTGTCAAGTTAATTGCCCTCACAGTTAAAAAAATTCATCATTTAATTTTAAAAATGTTAAAATAATTTAATGGTGATTTTTCTTTTAAAATAGTCAAATTAGCAAAATGATAGTGCTGTGTTCATTAAACCAATTCTTCTTTAAAAAAAATCCAAGAATTGGATTGAATTGTCCAAAATGTAATTGTTTAACATAGTTTACCTTTTTCACATCTAAAATTGAAAGAAAAAGTCCAGATGGCCGTTTTAGGGTTTAAGTCTGAAAGGGCTAATACTGTTTTCCCCAGTGAACTGTAGCTCAGCCAGTGTTGCATCACTGAATTATGGGCATATAATTAAGGTAACAGCTCAAAAACAAATTTAATAGCACCAACCCACATCAGTATTGAACACGAACAGATTGAATTGGATTGGATCGTGATCATCAATTCTAACTAACCCTGTAGAATTGGAATCGAATCGATTCTTGAAATTTGAATCAATAACCAGCTTTATAAAATAATAAACATGAAAATGTTAGAACATGTTGATCTATATCAGCAGCTTGCTGGAGAGACAGAATTCATCAATCTTCAAATGCAATTGGGGGCCAAACACAATTCCTCCGGCACGTCTTCCAGTGAGGATACGGAGTCTGGGGGCTTTGGGTTGGGCTGTCCAACCTCTGGGGCCGAGGTCACTGAGGTTGTCAAAAAGCTTCTCGGTGGCAAGGCCCCGGGGTGGATGAGATCTGAACGAAGTTAAGACTCTGGATATCATAGGGCAGAGTTGACTTACGCAGCTCTGCAATGTCGGGGGCAGTTCCACTGGGCTGGCAGACTGGGGTTGGCGGTCCCCCTATTTAAAAAGGGGGACCGCAGGGTGTGTTCCAACTATAGGGGACTATATAAGTTCATTCAGGAGTTCTGGAGAGGAGGGTCTGTCGGATTGTCGAACCTCAGATTCAGGAGAAGCAATGCGGCTTTCATCCTGGCCAGGGAGCACTGGACAAGCTTTATACCATTAGGGGGTCCTGGGGGCTGTGTGAGAGTTCGCCCAACCAGTCTACATGTGTTTTGTGGATTTGGAGAAGGCGTTAGACCACGTCCCTCTGGGGGTACTTGGGGGAGTATGGGGTACCAGGCCCTCTGATACGGGCTGTTAGATCCCTGTATGACCGGTGTCAGAGCTCGGTCCGCATTGCCAGCAGAAAGTTGGGCTCGGTCCCAGTGAGAGTTGGACTCCGCCAAGGCTGCCCTTTGTCACCTATTCTGTTCATAACCTTCATGGACAGGATTTCTAGGCGCAGCCAAGGTGTGGAGGACATCCGTTTTGGTGGCCTGAGGATCAGATTTCTGCTTTTTGCAGATGATGTGGTCCTGTTGGCTTCATCCGAACGTGATCTTCAGCTCTCGCTGGAGCGGTTCACAGCCAAGTGTGAAGCAGCTGGGATGAGAATCAGCTCCTCTGAATCTGAGATCATGGTCTTGATTCGGAAAAGGGTAGAATGCCTTCTCCGGGTCAGGGATGAGGTCCTGCCCCAAGTGGAGGAGTTTTAAGTTTCTCGGGGTCTTGTTCACGAGTGAGGGAAAACTGGAGCGTGAGATCGATAGGTGGATTGGTGCTGCATCTGCAGTGATGCGGGCGTCGTAACGGTCTGTCGTGGTGAAGAGAGAGCTGAGTCAGAAGGCGAAGCTCTCGATTTACTGGTCGATCTACGTTCCTACCCTCACCTATGGTCATGAGCTTTGGGTAGTGACCGAAAGGACAAGATTCTGGATACAAGCAGCTAAAATGAGTTTTCTACGCAGTGTGTCTGGGCTCTCCCTTAGAGATAGGGTGAGCAGCTCTGTCTCCTCCACATCGAGAAAAGCCAGTTGAGGTGGCTCGGCATCTGATTAGGATTCTTCCTGGACGCCTCCCTGTTGAGGTTTTCTGGGCCCGTCCAACCGGGAGGAGACCTAAAGTCTCTCACCTGGCCACGGGACACCTTGGGGTTTCTCTGAAAGAGCTGGCCCAAGTGGCTGGGGAAGGGGAAAACTGGGCCTCTCTACTTAGGATGTATCCCCCACAACCCGACTCCGGATAAGCGGAAGAAAATGGATGGATGGATGAATGGATGGATGGATATAAGCAGTAGTTGTTTTGTACATTACCATAAATAAGTGTTGGCCCATAAAATATGTCAATTTGATTGCAGTGTGTGCATGTTTGAGTGTATAAAGTGCAGCTGATGTTATTGTTGGTAGGAGAACATGCTCCTTTGTAGTGGTCTGTGAAAGTCCTAGCATGGTTTGTGTGGCATGTATTTGTTGTATCTCAGCCAAGAGAACAGAGGGCTTTCCTCGCCCCTTAGCCAAGTAAGCATCTGCATAAACCATTGTTTGTTTTCAGCCGAGGTTGGCAGTTTTTGTTTGCATACCTCTGTTGGTCAAACCCTGCTTTCTCAGAAGTGTTTTGTCACTGATGTAGCATGACATGCTTTTGAAAAACAATTCTGAATTTGAATTTTAGAGTTAGTTGTAGCAATATGAATGATGCACACTAGTTTACTCTGTCTCATATGCATTGGCCCTGTATTTTTATTTTTTTTTAAATATGATCTGTCATGCCAAGGGTCTTCTAACCCGATCCTGCATTAGAAAATAAACGTGGAAATGTTTGGGTCAGAAAAATCCACACAATTCTATTGTAAAACATCATTCAGGGACTCCTCCATCTTGGCTCGTGACTGCGGAAGGCTGTATTTGATTTAGCGCCCAGGGGAGAACTGAGCACGTCTTAGCTAGTAGAAGCTAACTGTTAGCATTAACAACTCTACAATGTGGCAGGACTCCATCAAGCTTCTGTTCTTTGTTGAAATAACACATCATTTTGTTTTTTACCCAAGAAAGAACTGTGAACAAAGGCAGTAGAAGATTGGGGGTCATTAATTTGCATAACATGAATATTAATGAGCTAAACTCCAAATCCTGTGGTGCAATGTTTGCCTACTTAAGAGACACACAATTGAAGTAGATGTTTATGTCACTGTGTTTGTAAAAATAAAAAACTAAAATGTCAAAAATGTACTGCAATAATGTTAGATTGAACACACGGAGCAGACTGTACTGAGTATGGATGTGTGATTTTGGGATTTGTTTTTTGTTCACAGAAAAATATGGGACACCAAAGTTTTGGATCCATCAACAAGGTAACCAAAAGACGATTTAAAATATCAAACCTTAAGTAGTTTTTAGGAGTTCAAAAATTATTTTTGAAAAATTTTCCTTATTTTGTAAAAAATAAAAATTTTCTGAGATTGTCTTATTGATTTTTCTTTGTAGAATTAGTCTGATGGCAAAGAAGAAGGGATTCTGGGTAGAGAAGGTGCACTGTCTGGGCACTGAGAACAGTTTATCAGAGTGCCACGCTCAGCTGTCAATCCCCCGTAGTCCCACTCCTTGTAAGAACGGGAGGCATGCAGTGGTCAAGTGTGTCCCGGGGCCTCAGTTTGCTCGCATCTCCTCAGGAAGACCCCAGGCTCCACATCCAGTTGTGGTAAGGTTGACAGCTTTGTGTCAGAATGATTCAGTGCGTTTCTGCATGAACATTGATTTATGGCATCTGTGCTGCTCCACACAGCCTGTCCGCCTCAAGGCAGGCCCCAGGCTGGGCGAAGGCCGTGTGGAGGTGCTTCGGAACGGGAAATGGGGGACTGTTGTTGATCACTTGTGGGACAGGACCGCAGCCAGCGTGGTGTGCAGAGAGCTGGGTTTTGGTACCGCCAAAGATGCCCTGCAAGGAGCCTTTATGGGCCAAGGTAAGAGAGAAGTCTTGCTCAGACGGTTTTCCACAATTCAAAAAGATCAGGAGAAGTCCATTTTAAATCCAGTTATTTGAAGTTTGGTTGTTTAAACGTGTTTATGATGTGTCATGGTATTCCCAAGAAGACAGGGACTTTTGCGTATGGTACACGCCGCGCCCGTCTGCTCCAACTGATTAGGTACTGTGCAGGCATGTGTGTTTGCTTTTTGTCTGTGTATGCTACCTTGTGAGCTGCAAATGTGTTGATTGCAGTATCTCCAGCTGTGATTATACGAGCCCCGTGCCAGTGGTACACATGCACGTACTGAAAAAGAAACACAGTGAGCCACGGAGGTTTACTTTGGCATTTAGTAACCTAGCTCAGAGATCTGATCCAGCCAGACTCAAGCAACTTCATTACCCACTCACTGGCTGATTGCTTTTTCTTCTAAATTTCAAATGTGCTCCTTTGATGTTGCGTACAATTTCAGTCAACATCCAGCTGTTCCAGTGGTGTCCCCACCCTTGTGACATGCGGGAAAAAAATACTTCCCCATGCCTCAAGCCTGGGTGTAGTCCCAAAACATGCTAAAGGAGATGGAATGCAGGATGGCATTTCTGCTGGTTTAGATGTTCGGATGATCAAAGTAAACATAATTTTATACTTCAGTATTTTTTAGGAGATATCATCACACCATGCAGCTTTCCAAAGTTGTCTGATTTACTTTGCTTTCAATCATTTCATGAGTCTTCTTACCACTTAGCATTTAAAGGTGATCAGTTCTATTGGTTAAGATTATACAGGTGAAATGGGAAAAACTAGAATATGGTGCAAACTCCTTTTGTTTCATTTAATTAATCCAACTCAAACTGAAGGTTCGGGAACCCTTTTCAGATGTTTGGGAATATTGAGCCTTTTCACAATTTTCTAATTGTCTGAGATTTTGAATTTGAGGATTTTGTAAGCCATAATCATCACCATTATAACAAATAAAGGCTTGAAATATGTGGTTTTGAATGTAACGAGTCTATCTCATCTGTTAGTTTCACCTTTTGAGTTGAATAATTGAAATAAATGAATTTTTGCACCATATTCAAATTTTTCACATGTCACTTGTAAAATAATTTAGTAATTGTGCAATTACGAAGTCAGGAATCTCACCCAAGAATCAAATCTTATTTGCCTGTTTCAGGGAATTTAAAAACATTTCCTAAAGATTTTCAAATATTCTTTATTTCAAAAAATACTTTTCAGAGCGATGAAGACACGATAGTGCAGAAACATTAGTTTTTTTGTGTTTGCACCTATTAAATGTTTTTCTGACTCGAGTGCTTCAGCCTTCCTGCTGTTTTTTCAGATTGCTCACTGGCCGTCGAGCATTGACTAGTGAGTGGACAACGTGCTGAGGGCTCTGTTTTTGATTCTTTATTTCATGTCTGTTTAAAGCAACCAGAGACAACAGTAGCTCAGGAGGTAGAGTGGGTTGTCCAGTAATCGGAAGGTTGTAGGTTAGATCCCGACTCTGACCAGAGACCGTTGCTGTTGTGTTCTTGGGCAAGGCACTTAACCTGCCTTACCTACTGGCAGTGGTCAGAGCGACTGGTGGCACCAGTGTTGGGCAGGCCTCGCCTCTGTCAGCACGCCCCAGGGTAGCTGTGGCTACATCGTAGCTCATCCCCGCCAGCGTGTGAATGTGTGTGAATGGATGAATATCAAATTGTGTTGTGAAGCGCCTTGGGGGGTTGTAGAATCCTAAGAAGGCACTATACATTTACCGTTTCACCATTTACCAACCTCATAAAAGTAAACTTGATAAAGTTCATCATGGAGAAGTCACAATCATCTGAACCCTGTATCCTTTTCCATGAGTCAGAAAGTGGAATGCAACTTTGGGAGTGGTTGGCAATGTTCAGCATCCTCCTTCAGCATCCCTGAGTCAAATAGACTGGAACATGTTTGCACCTCTGCCACTGTAGAGTATAAAAGCAGCTGAGTCTAGACCCTGTCTTAATTTTCTGATGGGAAATCTCAGTAGCACTGCTTTCTCTCCGTCTGCCAGCCTGCTCCTCCTTTTGTCAGAATTGTCATACAGGAAGTGTGGGTGGAGTAAGACTCTGTTAGGGGGTGACAAGTTGTTATAAAACAGCAATAATAATTTTTAGGACTACTCTCGTACCAACTAGACATTAGCTCATTAATCTGTTCAACTAATCTCCATTTCTCAAAAATGAAGTAATTTATTGAGCCATATTAATGGCTAAACCTTTCAAAACAAGAGCCAGATTTGTGAAGTTAATGGTCTTTGTGTCCACAAAGCATTGATTTCTACATTTGCATGAGCAACCTGCCTGAGACAAAAGCCATCATTCTAGAAATGGAACTGGTGGCTGAACAACATCTCTGAGGGCAGCAGTGAACCTCAGGCCACACTTTGGACATGCCTGCTTTAGTTAGTGATTCTCAAATGACTTTAGGAGTGAGTGGGTGTGCAGAGTAATGCCTCTGTGTGGCTGTGTTGGCCCTGTGATGGACAGGCATCGTGCTTTCAGGAGGAAAGCCTAGACTTCGTGACTGTGGGTTTGAATGATTCTTGTGACGGTGTCTGTCTATAACTTCTTCAAACTGTGTGAAAAGCTTCTCCATTATATCTGTGTAGCCATCTGAGGGCAGCAGAACAGTCATCGTGATAAATCTAATGACTCAGAAGGCTATTGAAGAACAGTGCAATTGCTCGGCTGTCGGCTACTTTTACCTCAAATAAATACTATCCACAAGACAGCAACACAATAACCCTATAGACTTTTATCAGAGAAGTCGGTTTACATCAAGTCTCTCAACGATTAGCGGAGCCCTTTCAGAGAGATGAGACTGAGAGAGGCTTTATTAATCACACTCAGTCATTTTCCATCTCTAATATTTATTTTCCATTTCATTTGCACTTTTCATTATCTTGCACATAGTTTACGGCGTACGAAGTGGAATAATGTGTAGCTTTGACACCAGCAAAGTCCACATGTTCATAAACATACTTGTGACCACAGAATAACATACATGTTAGCTTTACTTAGGAGACAGACAATCACAAATCACCCTAATTTACCCCCCCCCCCCCCCCCCCCACACACACACACACACACACACACACCCTTTAGGGCTCAGTTACATAGATGCAGTTATTCCACATCCTTTGAACTTCTCAGGACTTTCTTCACATGCAGCCTGCAAGACATAAACAATCACTTTTACATACATTTTTCCATGTATCAGAAGCCCAGTGTATAAAAACAAACCCATGTAATATGGAAAACCCTTTGAAGGAACAAGCCAAAGGCTTTCTGGAAGTGGCGCTTGTTTTGGTCAAATGCCTTTCTTGACTTTCAGTACAAGTACATTGAAAAGACGCTTGCTCAAGCCAACTTCCCAACAAAATAGCTTTAATTTACATCCTTCAGGGTTCAGTCTGTAAGAACAGAGTGCCACAGACAAGCACAGTATAATTTAGGCATGTGTATTGGCAAGAATCTGGGCATACAGTATTTTTCACTACAGGCAATACAACTTGTCATACGGCCATACTAAAAGGCAGAGGATATTTGCAATTTTTAAGACTAAATTTATATAGAAAATACATCCAGTGTTATAGGCAGCCAAAGTCACATCCATCTACTTCTGAACCATGGGTTTCCTACTGCCAAAAACACAAAGCAATAAATGTTATTTTGCCATGGATTTCACAAATGATGTCTGTGAAATTTAAGGACACATTTTGATGCCAAGAAAGTGCTTTGTGCGACACAACCAGGGATGGGTACCTTTGACATTTGAATCGATCCGGTACTAATTCCCGGTACCTATGAATCGATACCGGTACTTAACGGTACCAATTTTCGATACTTTTGAGTGTTTAATATTTTTAAATTCTCTTTTATAATTAAATATATATTTTTCTCAATATATAACCATATTTGATAAATTTCACGATAAATAACATACAACTGTTTGTATTTTAACATCGTCCTTGTAGTTTTATAAGCTGATAATTAAACTGAAGCAAACATCTTTACTGTGAACTAAATTTACTGTGTATCTTCATTCCTTTTTCCGTCCTTTTTCATTTGATTTTTCCTACTGGGAAGTTAGAATTTCCGAGGAGAAAGCGAACACACCATGATAACAATAGTGGCATAGGAAGCTAACATATCAAGCTAACATTATCTTAAACAGTTTATTTAACTGCTGGAGCAGATTTAAACTATGATGCCTCACAGTTAAATTGTTGTCACTGGTTTCATCTTCACCCAATCACCCGTCGCATTTAGTAAAGTGAAGCCAATCTTTAAAGCGCGTTCATGTTCTTCTAGTCGGAATTTCGGAGTTCCGAGGAGAAAGCGAACGCACCATTAGTGAAACTGAAGCTAACAAATCAAGCTAACGTTATCTTAAACATTTTATTTACCTACCAGAGCAGATTAAGATGAGGATGTCTCACTTAGATCGTTGTCGCTGGTTTCATCATCACCCAGTTACCCATCACATTTAGTGAAGTGGACCCAAGCTTTAGCTTTCGTTCTTTCTACCATGCTGCTCTGTTTACAACTCGCAGCGACCGATGACATAACGCTCTTGCGCATGCGCAGCTGTCTAGGCAAGTTCTCGTTGTGAAGGACGGGTACCGAAACGAGGCACCGTTTCAAATGAAGTGAATCGGTGCTCGGTCAGTACTGTGGAATTCGGTCGGTACCTTAAAAAGTACTGAATTCGGTACCCATCCCTAGACACAACGGACTACAAATGCTCATCTCACCAAATTTACATCATCAAACCAGTCACTGAGAAGAGAAGAAAAATGGCTGTGAGTTTAGCAAGCTTTTGATTTTTCTTTCAGGACCAAAGAAGGAGCATTAAATATTGAGAAAACCACTATGAGTAGCAGCATGGACGTCACTAGGATTGAGGTATAGGGGAGCTTAGCCCCAGGAGCTTGACCTTGAAAATTTTTTTCACACCCTGCAAAAGCTTTGTCAATTAATTCATTATCTGAAGAATTCCATGCTTTCGTTCTTTTTAAACACAGAAAAAGTTTTGTTTACCTGTTGTGTAGATACAGTTTCGCCGACGGCCGTTATTACTATAAAACTAAAGCTTTTAATAAAAAAAATGTATTTTAATTAATCAAATGTCACTGTGTGATATGAAACAAGACCCAAATCAACTAAAATTTATAATTACAAATAGAAAACGCCTGCAAAGGGTTCCTGAGCCTTTAAATAGTCTGTCTAGTTGAATTACTGACATAAATTTGACTTTGCACCAGATTCTAATTTTTCCAGTTTCACTTGTTTGTATAATTGGGAGTTTTTATTAGCATTTCTACTCATAATGTAGTAAAAACACATAAATAATAATCCTTCAAAATGACAGTAGAACAGGCACAAATATGATCTAGGACTTAAATGTACTAACTTTTAACACCAGAGCAGGCATGGCATATTCTGAGAATGATCAGGAACACTAACTAGTCAGTGATATTCTGTCTACGAGGAAGTCGTGCAATGACAAAGGTTCCGCCGTGCTCAAAATGCAAGCTGTGATTAAATGTGTGAAATTTTTTTAACGTGTCGTTTTTTTCTAATTAATCATAATAACGCGTTAAAGTCCCAGCCCTAAAAAAACTCAAAATGATAGGGGGGCTTGTGATTATTTTAGGGGGGCTTCAGCCCCCCTAAAACAGACCTAACGACGTCAGCGAGTAGCAGCTACGCGGTGGGAGAAGAGATGCTGCTGTGACGTCTGATTTCTAGTGTTTTAAATTATCGATTTTTACTAGCAAATAAATCTCTAATTATCTGACAGACATAGTCGAAAAATTTTTTTCCTTTTAAATTGAAGTACAACAAATGTGTGATTCAGGGCGTAAGTCAAAGCGGAGCAGAAAATAACATATAGCCCCGTTCACTTCCATTCATTTATTTTGTTCTGGAGACCCATGAGCCAACCAGAAGGGGAGGAGACTGAGGCTGTTAATAGGGAGCCTAAGTCTCCTCCCTTTCCGGTCGGCTCATGGGTCTCTGCAAGAACGAAAAAATGAATGCAAATCAACTAGTCTAAAAACGCTATTTTCTAATCCGCTTTGCATTATGCCCTGAATCACACATATGTTGTACTTTAATTTAAATGAAAACCAATGATGGGTGTTTCGACCACGCGTGTCACGTACTTTGAGATTTATCAGCTTGTGAAAGTTCGTAATTAGCATGACTACAAACTAGAAGTCAGCACCTCGCATATATGGCGTCACCACAGAATTTCTTCTCCCCTAGCGTAGCTGCTACTTACCAAATGGCCAGATTTATGGTGGTTCTTTCCTCCTGAAGGAAGAATTTGGAGGTCGCTGAACTTACAGTCATTTCCCTCTGTTTTTCTCCGTGTCAGGTTCAATAAAGTCACTTTCGTGAAGCATATTTGTAGTCCTGGACTTATTTTCACACAAAACCTGAAATAACGTTTCCCCTCGTTCGAAAATAAGCGCTTTAAAGGTATCAAAATGTGTCTTTAAAATTCACGGACATCATATGTGAAACCCATGGCACAAAACAAGCGGTATTAGAAAATAGCATCTTTAGCCCCGTTGACTTGCATTAATTTTTCGGTCTTCTGGGGAACCAAGGTCCAGAAATAGATGGGCGTGACTTAGGCTTCCTCTCAATGCCCAAGTATGCTAATGTGTTCTTGCATACTTGTCAATTGTGTTTTTGGCAAGTACAGCAGGTAATCCATTCTAAGTACAAGAGGATGAGGACGCCATTTTGAACAGAAAAATACTCTGTTACATCATAACAACAAGCGCTGCATTATGCTACGGTCTGTTAAAATAAAAAATAACAATTAATACATTATACTGGCATAATAGTTGGCCCAGTTTTGAACAAAATTGATAAAATACCAGCATTTATGGCTGTTAAATGAAGAAAATAAGTTTTTTTCATCGAAACAAAGAATTTGAGGCAATGCTGCTTTTATTTTGATAGTGGGTTAGCTAGTTAGCATTTTGAGGTGTCGTGAAGAGTCAGAAAAAAACACAGAGGTAATTTTACAGGTTACACACAATCAATTATGGTAACAGACAACTTTATATTCATTTATTTAGATGTTATTAGGTGTATTTTTAATACAAAACAGTACAGTTACAAGATTTCTCCTCTGCCATTTTCCATTTGGGGTGTAGCTGTTTGCGATTCAATGCATTATGGGATACCTTTTTGACCCAAGTCTGCTGAAAGATGCATCAATGCATCCTCAGTGGGCGGAGCAAGAACGCATTGGGATCTTCGAAAGTATTTGCCATGATGCCTACATAGGATTGGAACATTACTTGGGTTGTCGTCGTCGTCTTCCTCCGCTTATCCGGGTCCGGGTCACGGGGGCAGCATCCCAACCAGGGAGCTCTAGACCGTCCTCTCCCCGGCCACCTCCACCAGCTCCTCCGGCAGGACCCCAAGGCGTTCCCGGACCAGATTGGAGATGTAACCTCTCCAACGTGTCCTGGGTCGACCCGGGGGCCTCCTGCCGGCAGGACATGCCAGAAACACCTCCCCAGGGAGGAGTCCAGGAGGCATCCTGACCAGATGCCCAAACCACCTCAACTGACTCCTTTCGATCTGGAGGAGCAGCGGTTCTTCTCCGAGTCCCTCCCGAATGTCCGAGCTCCTCACCCTATCTTTAAGGCTGAGCCCGACCACCCTACGGGGGAAACTCGTTTCGGCCGCTTGTATTCGCGATCTCGTTCTTTCGGTCATTACCCAAAGCTCATGACCATAGGTGAGGATTGGGACATAGATCGACCGGTACATCGAGAGCCTGGCTTTCTGGCTCAGCTCCCTCTTCACCACAACAGATCGGTTCAACGTCTGCATCTCTGCAGACGCCGAACCAATCCGCCTGTCGATCTCCCGATCCCGCCTACCCTCACTCGTGAACAAGACCCTGAGATACTTAAACTCCTCCACTTGAGGTAGGACCTCTCTCCCAACCCAGAGTTGGCAAGCCACCCTTTTCGGGTCGAGAACCATGGTCTCAGATTTGGAGGTGCTGATCCTCATCCCAGCCGCTTCACACTCGGCCGCGCACCTACCCAGCAAGAGCTGAAGGTCAGAGCTTGATGAAGCTAGGAGGACCACATCTTCCGCAAAAAGCAGAGACGAGATTCTCCTGCCACCAAACTCGACACACTCCACACCACGGCTGCGCCTAGAAATTCTGTCCATAAAGGTAATGAACAGAACCGGTGACAAAGGGCAGCCCTGGCGGAGTCCAACCCTCACTGGGAACAGGTCCGACTTACTACCGACTATGCGGACCAAACTCACGCTCCTCTGGTAAAGGGACTGAATGGCCCTTAACAGAAAGCCACCCACCCCATACTCCTGGAACGTCCCCCACAGGGTGCCCATTACTTGGGCCAACGTTGATAACGTTTCACAAGTACGGGAGTACACAAATACAGACGAGTATGCATATTGAGAAACGACCTTAGGGTTTTTTACGTGATCTGCACGCTCTGTCAGAATGAAGGAAGTTAAAACTGCTGCCACTTAGAGGTCGGAGATTGAATTTCACCACATAAAAGAAATATGTTTTCATCTTAAACACACTGTGCTGAGATAACCGGTGCTGGTGTAAATCGTAAACTTTAACTTTAAATAAGGTTTCATTGATCAGATCTGATGAACAGTTTTCACTTTGATTTTTGTCTGTGTGTTTAAATATAAAATTCAATACACATCATTTATATTTCGTCTCATTTTCCCACTTTGATGTATTTCTTTTTATTAACAAACATTCAAAGCTGAAATTCAGTATTTTGTTGTTTGGAAAATTGACTTTTAAAGCCCAGTGGTTCTAATTCTGTCTTTTGAAGCCGTCATCGTGATCACATTTATCATCATCATCATTGGTGAGGTAAATTACAGGGACAAGGTTTGCATTTCCTTTTCAACCATCTTTGTTATTTTACTTGTAATTTAGCCCATGAAATAAATAGATATGAGACTTATATAAAGGAACTGAATCATCTTTGTGCCTGTGTGTTCTTGTGTGAATGAAAAGTCAGGCTGACCTTTCTTTTTGGGGTAAAGTTTAAATTGAGAATGCCACATTTAGTTTTGCGGATCCCTCTGATTAGTTTGCCTTGATAATGTAAACCGTAGAAGATTTGATCCAGTTTGTGGCCTTTCCTCAGCAGCTAAAGGTGGAAGTGGGAATGATCCATTCTTTTCATACATACAGCGGTGGTTACAGGCCACAAGCGGTGGCCTGCAATCTACTAAAACCGACAGAGATACAGTTTGAGTTAGGCTGCAATCTAGTATCCACTTTCTTTCACTACATCCTTTTTTGGTTTTTCTCTTTGCCGTAACTTTAGTGGTTTTGGCCGTGTGTATTTCCTTGCTTCCTCATTTAAAAGTTTGCACCTTTTGCATAGGAAAACATTGAAGCCATAGTTTATTCTATGCTTCCGTTACTTTTGGTGCCAGAGTTTCACAGTGTTTTATGTTGTTTAGAGGATCTTGGTACAAACATAAACCTGTAAGTTATTTATTTTGCTGGCACTAAATTTGCCTTGTGTGCTCACTCGGTGTGGCAGACGACACACAATGTTGTTGTTGTTGTTGTTGTGCCTGAAGCAGAAGAATGATGGTAATGAGGTGTGACAGATGCCTTAAGCAGATGCTTTGCTGCCGCTCTTTAGGTTGCAAGAGCTTTTTTGTCATGACAGATAGCAACCTTATATAGATGGCTTGGTGCTTCAGTAGAAACAATCTTGTGCATTTTAAAGAACACATTTGCTCCTTTGCAAGATAAAATCTTCAGATGGCATTGTGCCCACTTTGGGTGGCCCAGGACATCTACAAGAAAAGCTGCTTTGTGGTTGCATTTACACTTCCATATCTTACATCATAACATCTTCCACGTGTTTTCCTTTCTGTTCAGGAACTGGACCGATTCATATGAACAATGTACAGTGTGTGGGGTCAGAGCGCTCCATCTTGGACTGCTACTTCCAAGAAGTCCAACCATGGACATTCAAACACAGCCAAGATGCTTCAGTACGCTGTAATGTTCCTAAGACTGGCTCAGAGAAAACGGTATAAGAACCAGACCTTTATTATTAACGCTAACGCTCTCAGGGATAATAAATAATTGACTCTAATGGCTGTCTAGGTGCGGCTTGCTGGTGGTAGAGTCCATTCAGAGGGCCGTGTGGAGGTGTTGATGGAGGTTGGGGGTCGTAAGCGTTGGGGCTCTGTCTGTAGCGAGAACTGGGGCATCAACGAAGCCATGGTGGTGTGCAGACAGCTAGGCCTGGGCTTTGCTGCCAGTGCTCATCAGGTAACTCACTCTCTAAACAATAACTCATCATTTTCATTCCTAGTGATGAAGTCACCAACTTGTTAAAAGTCCTGAAGGAACAAACAAAGCAGAACTCCCACCAAATCTGTCAAAAAATATAATTTTTCTAAGAAATGTCAAAATCTCATCGGTGCAGTCACAGTTATTGACGTAAAAATGAAATTAATACTTGGAAACAGATCCATAGTCACAGCCCCTACATTCATTGTGGTAAATAATGAGCTATGTTTCTGCTCATTGATAGAAAACCTGGCAAACTTATCATGTCACCTCTTCACGCCCTTCCTTTGACAGGAGACATGGTACTGGTCTGGTGACCCAAATGCAAGCGATGTGGTTCTTAGTGGAACTCACTGTGTGGGCACCGAGTTTTCAATCCAACAGTGTCGCCGTAACAACCACATCCACTGCCCTCGTGGAGGTGGAGCCAAGGCTGCTGGGGTCACCTGTTCAGAAAGTGAGTTGAGTCTTCCTCACAGTCTTCTCTTGTCCTGTAATAATGTTAACATGGCATGTTATGTTAAACCCCCTGTTAGCTGCTCCGGATCTTGTTTTGGATGCACAGCTGGTTCAGGAGACGACCTACCTGGAAGACCGACCCCTCCATCTGCTGACCTGTGCCAATGAAGAGAATTGTCTGTCGTCTTCTGCTGCCAGGATGAACTGGCCGTATGGACACCGACGCCTGCTGCGCTTCTCCTCACGTATCATGAACCTTGGTCGGTCTGACTTCAGACCCAAAGCATCAAAAGACACCTGGACATGGCACCAGTGCCACAGGTAGGACATTCTTTTACTTTGAGCAAACATAGAGCACAGAACAGAACATTTTAGAAGACACACCATGCCGGCAAATCAGCATAATACTCCCGCCACTGTGTGTCTTATGAAGGCGCCGTGGTGGCATGGCATTGTGGGAATTTTGCTGCATTCGTGCCACCACGCTTGGTAGTAATATCGCCGTAACGCCAAACTTGTGAATGCATATTACGCCGAACTCCAGCCGGCAACTATTGGAAATCAAAACAAACATGGACATAATGTTTTACTTTTGTAAACAATCAGCTGAGATGATAAACTGGAGCAATGCAGAGCTCAGGAGCTTCTCTTTGTTAGAGCTGGAGCTCAGATCACCAGAGACTGTGGAGGAACGATGCCTTTAGAAGCAGCTTGTTAAAAATGTTAACGAGTCAGTTTCAATTGCAGTAAAAACAAGTTATGTCCAAGATAAATGGAAGTCCACAGCAGCGCAGAAACCGCCCGTACCCCCTTTATACTGCCATTGTTTAATCTTTTGTAAAAAGGACACGATTTCGCCACATTACCGCTACCGTCTGACCACTTAAAAATGACCAAAGGCTTCCTGATGCCGCCTCTGCATTTCGGCAAATTGGCAGCACTGTTTTTTAAAATAAACTATAGACAGAGCTCAGTCATGGGACAGAATATATGTTTGTCCTCTTAACTGTCTCTGCATGTTATTGGACAATGAGCAACGTGAAATATTCAGTGCTACGCGTGTCTGTAAGCAGGGCAGTCCACTATACACGGTCGAAGAAGATGCAAATGCATCCTTTTTCTAAATAATTTAAGTACCTCTACAGCTTGACTCAAAGAAAAGCCCAAGTCAAATTAGTCCAAAGTTGATGCCAAAGCCGATTAATAGGAGCCGCCACCATCTTAGCAGTTTTGCTCCATCGCAGCAACATCCCGCCCACAAAACCAATTGTGATGGGTAAAACATGAGACTGTTCAGGGCTGCCGAGGCTCCAGTGGAGCGTGGCTAGACCGACCTGCAGAGCAAAATCATTTTGCTTCTGCTACTGTCTGCCTAGATTTCTAGACTGACATTCCAACAAGTTATCAGTGTAGCGTGATGAATTGTCCATTTCTGACCTAAAGGCCCTGCTCTATTTGCTCTGCCCAAGCAAAACCAGAAGTTTCTGACACAAGCCTAATCTACAAGATATGGGCCAAGGCCACTCATGCTCTGTGCTCTTATCTAAACTGTTGCTTCAGCGGACAGCACAAGAAAGAAGGGGGAAGACAGAACTTTTCTCTATTAAAAAATAATCAAATAACTTTGTTAGTCCAAATAAGCATGCAAAGCTCAAGGTTCAATCAATCTGTGAAATGAGAATATTAATTACTTGATATTATAATCCTATGATAGTTTAATAAGTAATATAACTTTAAACTAGACACTAGACTGATCACATGTAATGTTAAAAATCTCATGACACATTCCTTTTTCTGATCCAATCAGAACCTTCCAGATCTGACGCGAGGTGTGGTGTTGTTGGTTTTTGTTAAATCCCCTTTTGTTGTCAAATTCTGATTCGATAGTAAATCAAAACATCCAAATTATGAAACTATGCCCACGTCATCTTAACTTCAGTTCAAAGCGTTCTAGAGAAGTTGTCGGAGTGGCCAATCCGTAACTTTCCTCTTAAAGCCGAAAGAACCTAACGACAAGCTGGATTAAATCTGTTGCATGTTCCACCTGCTGCAACAGTTCCTTCAGATTAAAAGCTGAACCACCCTTCAGGGTCTCGCTAGATGCGAATAAAACTGCCGTGACCTGGGAGTAACTCAATACTGGTAGGGTCGGCAACCGCTGCATATCTACAGGCGTAGTTTCCAAGAGTGTCCAAGCTGGACCCCCGACATTCCGGATCTAAACGGGGATTTCCGTTGGGGTACGTAGACCGACAGATGGCATCTCAATGTGTGTTATAATCTCCAAGCCAAAGCTTAGAGCGAAACACCGTCTCATTCCCATCAGAACTAATCGTTTATCCGGATTTGCTGGTTCTGAACATATTCACACATACACTATTCTCAGTCTTACTCTACCTTAGTTCATCATCACATAGTGTTTAAAGTTAGTCTTGTTCAAATTGTTTAGAAATAAATCTTGTAACTTTTTAAACCTGACTCTCTCTCCTTCTTGGAGTTGATATGAAGTGTTGCTCAATCCCTGCAATAAAAAGATCCGATCTTCTGGTTAAATTTATTCAAAGATCCATTAAGGTGATATTTCGTATTTTATGATATTTCACATTCTATGTTTTCTAATTAAATGTAAGAACATCTTCTCTACATCTGTATCACCTGAGAGTCATTGTGAAGTCAGCTCTTTTTGGGAAATGCAAACACACTAACACAGATTGGGAATCTCCTCCTTCATATGGGTTCTCTAGCCAGTTACACTTGTACATTTTTGATGCAATTACTTGATTGAGTTCCTTCAAATGCAAACGTTAGAAAGGAAAGAGTAAAGGTGCATTATGTAGAAATGAAGTAAAAATGAGATTCTGTGGTAAAACAACTGCCGGCCATCGTCAAATTACAATTGTCAGTGCTGCAGCATTAGCTCGTGGGAGAGACGGCAACCCCACACTCACTGATGGTAAACAGTAGTCACGTCCCTCCTTCCTTTGTTTTGAAAAGAGAAAAACTGACCATCCCCACAGCCTGCTGGATATAAAATATGGTTCAGTATAACCTTCCTTCCAAAATGACAGAAATATTATACTCTTGGGATTTTCTCACTGTGAAGTCCTCATATTCTTACATATTGCACCTTTAAAAGTCTCCATGCATAATTTACTCTTCTCTCCAAATCGTGTGCAAGCTCAAAATGAAACGTGTATGCAGTAGGATCAAATGCAAAGACCATTTCACTCACATTTCTCAAGCATTCTTTTAGTTTGAGGCCCGGAGTGTTAATACCACCAAATAAAGTCTGTGAATTCTTGGTAAGGAAAAAGATGAGCTGTGATTTGGTGTCCTGGATGTGTCAAAAACATGTTTCATTTACTTATTTGTACAGTAGTAATGACATAGCTTCCTCCATGTTTTGCATTTTGAGTTGCATTTAATTTAACTGCATTTAATTGCTGCTAGGAAGGAAAAACTTTGATGAGGTTGCCACATATAGCATGCAATGTGGACACAAGACTTAAGAGGCTGATTGTCACTTAGAACCCTAAAACAGTGTGGTCATCTCTCCGGATCCATTAGCTTGTCTGCAGCAGTGATGGGCGAACTGGTCGCCTCAGGTTGGTAGTCAAACATAGGACGAGGGAACCCAGGCTCAGTCAAGTCCATTCCAGTTTATTACATGTATGTGAGATTCAAAGCCCTCCTTTCACTTAGAATGAGCAAATAGTCCAACCCAGCTGACACTAAAGCAAGCCTCTGTTTGAGGTGTTATGGTGACACCCTGCTCATGCTCGAGAGGTGAGGTCATGAGGATACGAGCTATAGAACGCTAGTGTTCAGCCAGAGTAGAAGCGCATTCAGCAGAAACACACTCACCTGGACTTTCCCCTCTGACGACACAGGCACTACCACAGCATCGAGGTGTTCACACATTATGACCTGCTGACGCTGAACGGCACAAGGGTTGCAGAGGGACACAAGGCCAGCTTCTGTCTGGAGGACACATACTGTCCTGATGGTAATGTTCGCAACGTTCACGAGTCCCAGTTACTAATGGCATGACATTAATACTTCAGTTATTCACAGTTTGACTTGTGGTAATGTATTAAATCACTGTTTCTGTTTTTGTTCGTTCCCTTTCTGTTTAATTGTCATATATGTAAAACTGTTCTCACTGGAAAAAATACGCTTTTTATTTTAATTAAGCTTTAGGGTGTTAAATTTAACAGGGAGTGTTAAGCATTAAATGAGCTTTGATGTTATGATTGATGAAACTGTTGGTACATGTGCAAATGTGCTGTAGGGGTCCAAAAGCGGTTTTCCTGCTACAACATGGGCGATCAGGGCATTTCTGTGGGCTGCTGGGACACCTATCGCCATGACATTGACTGTCAGTGGGTCGACGTGACAGATGTACGGCCTGGGGACTACATATTCCAGGTCAGAGACTATTTAGGAATACTTATTCTGTTTCTTTTGTGACTTTGGCACAGTTTGTTGTCATAAACATGCCCATTTTCCCTTTTTTATGGGTTGGACATGTATGTTGCTCACTTTGGATTTTCATTGTTTGAATAGGCCAGTGATTGTATGGTTTGTTAGCTACTGTTAAGCAGATGTGGTAATACACTAAGTATTTGCTCAAAGTTCCCTCATTTGATTGTGTGGCGCAAACATCTGGGCTTATATTTAGGGATCAGAAAATTCCTGAAATTCCTTTGATAGTTTTCCAGTTCAAACAGGAGGTGTGGGATTTGGATGTCCGATGTCAAATGGATTTCACCAACAGCACAAAGAACAAGTGACTTTTTTTTTGCTAGAACCTCAGAAATAACCAGTTAACACATTGAAGCTGCCAGGTAAATTATCTTGTCCATTACGAGGAGATAATTTACAGCTAGCTTTAACAAGAAAGTAATCTATACAGTAGGAGTATTTTATTTAAGGTGAGGTTCACTTACAAATGTAGAATACTTGTTCTTTTTGACATATGATCAGTCACTCTGAGTTTCACATGCATGCTGAACATGGAAGTAGTCTTCTACCTACAAAGCCGTACAGAGCCACGTCACACCTTAACTTGTGACCGGGGAGGGCTGCGTTGATTTAGTGTTGTAGCGAGAGCAAAGCCAGTAGAAGCTAACTGTTAGCATTAGCAACTCTACAACATGGCAGAACACATTCAGGCTTGTTTTATTTGTGGAAATGAAACATCAGCGTTGCAGAGCAAGTAGGGAGCTAAGTCACGCCCATCAACTTCTGGACCATCACTATTTTCTAATCCCGTTTGTTATGTGCCATGGATTTCACATATGATGTCCGGGAATTTTAAAGCCGCATTCTGATGCTAAGAAAGCGCAAATTTTTGAACGGGAGAAAACTTTATTTTAGGTTTTGTGTGAAAATATGTCCCTACAAATGCGCATAACCAAACTGATGTCGTTGAACCAAACATGGAGAATTACAGAGGAAAAATGGCTGTTAGTTCAGCAAACTTAAAAGCCTTCTTTCAGTAGGAAAGGGGAGGCTACGCTAGGGGAGAAGAGCTTCTGTGGTGACGTCATATGCGACATACCGATGTCTAATTGAACTTTTACAAGCTGATAAATCTCAAAGTACGTGACTGGCGTGGTCGAAACACACATCATTACTTTTCATTTAAATTAAAGCAGACCATGTGTGTGATTCAGGGCGTAAGGCAAAGCAGATTAGAAAATAACACTTTTAGCCTCGTTGACTAGCCTTATTTTTTTGTACTTCTGGAGACCCATGAGCCGGCTGGAAACGGAGAAGACTTAGGCTCCCTATGGAGGCACATGGAACACTTGAGTTCTATCAGCTGGAGGCGAGATATTATGAGTATTAATGAGTTAAATTTCAAATCCTTCCATTTTCAGCCCCCTTCTCCTCCATCTAACTCCTACTTCCTGAAACAGGAGCCTCAGAGCTTTTTTTCACAGACACCGACTCACAAGGTCGTTCACTCTGAAGACCACTGCAAATTCATTGAACTAACGATAATGAAGTGTACTGTCTCCTTCTTGTCTGTTCCAGTGAAACCTGCTAACTTCAGTGGTTCCCTTTTAAAAACAGCTGAAAACTCTTGACTGTTCTAGCTGGCTTTGGTGTGACCTGCTGATTTTTCCTCACCACCTTCTCTTTATGCTGCTGTTTCTACCAATTCTGTCCTTCTCGGGATCCCGTATTACCTTTTATTTATTAACTTTCTTCTTCCTTCACATTTAAAAAATCTAAATTTCTCCTTTATTCTCGTTTCTTATTACGATATTTGTAATCATCTTTTATTTTTTTGTTCTTGTGAAGAGCCTTGTTATTTTTATCTTGACAGGCACTATTTAAAAGATTGTTTCTTCTTCTTCTTCTCTCTTCATCAACCATTCTGTTTTTCTGTTTTTGCCCGTTTTGTGGTTACCAAAAGAAAAAACACATCAAAACCTCCACCCCCATTATCATCCATGTCAGAACCTTAAAGCTATGTGGCATTCTTCAGATCTTAGCGTGGTGCCAATTAACTGGAAACTCGCTGTTTGTTAATTATTGCTGTTGCCCAGTTTGTTGCCCATTTAGTTTGATAATTACTGCCGATACGCACTCAGTCTCTTTAGTTGACACTTCTTTACTCTCTCTATTGGAGACCAGGACCGAGGTGTCGCACATTATGTAAATGTGTGTGCCGGCTGGATGTATTTTAAGGAGGTAGACTGGGGTTTAATTATAAAGTGGCAGACACAAAGAGGGAATAAATAACAGAGGTTGATAAAACTGGAGTAAAAATAAAAAAGGAGGTGAAAAGGTCAGGATGCCTTTTAGTGATACTGAAGAATCGGAATAAGAAAGTAAACAACAAATCAAGGAATGTATTAAGACAACAAACGTAAGTGGGTAAAAAAAATCTGTACAGCAGCTCAGTTTGTCTCCACTCTGTTCTTTCTTTAGAAAAATGCTGATCACAGCTAACAGCTCTGATCCTGACCAACCTGCCCTTGAACCACCCAGTGTTAATGAAACACACCAATTTACCCAAATTAACTATTGGCTCCCTTTAGTCAAACAGCACCTTTAGCCCTCTCTTCTATTAGGAACGGCTAATTTGCCACCAAGGAATTTTTCCTGCCCTGTTTTTATTTTTATAGTCATTTTAGTTTTTATTAAAAGACTTGTTCTGCTTCAGAGCCCTCGGCCAAGCCCTGCACACTCTGGTCCAACACTGTAATGTACACAAAAAATTAAGAGACACTATTTGTGAATTTGCTGTTTTTGTTGAAGCGTTCTCCCGTTTTGGTGTTGATTGCCTTCTTTCTCCCAGAACCCGTACTTATAGTGGGTGTAGCAGTTTACAGAGCAGCTATTAGAGTAAATGGCTTCACAGTGCTATCACTAGGCCAGATTAGGAGAACGGTTGTATCAGCAGTTGCTCAGCTACTCTGCAAATGACACACTATTAGTACATGTACGGCTGCACTCTGAATAAGACTGATTTCAGACATATAAACACACTTAACTAGTGTATTGCTACAGATTTCATTTTGGCTAATTAGGGTTTTATTTTTGTAATTTAATAGTGGCATAAGGAGTAGTGCACACTATTTTCGTCAACAGGCGCTTTAACCTGCACAGATGAACTCTCATAACCGCTCCTAAGGAGTTGTAGAAATTCTTCAGCAGCCAGCTACCACATTTTATAGTTAAAACAGAACAAGTTTGCACAAGCTGAAACATTTATACACTGGATTTTCTCTAATGATCCTCTAGTATTTGTCTTTTTTGTAAAATGTGAGTAAAAGGTAAAGTGCTTTTATTGTTGCTTTTTTAAGGCCAAGTTCACTGAGAAACTTTTTTTTGTTGTTTTTGGAACATGATCGAGTTTAACATGCAGGCTGAAAATGAAAATAGTCTTCTACCCCTGTTTCCCGCATTAGCTGCCAGGGAAACTCTCGGATTAGAAAAGCCTGTCAATTGCACATCACATAGTCAAATTAACATTCATGATTTCAGCCATCTTGGCTCGCGGCGGAGAAGGCTGGTGTTGATTTAGTGTCCATGAGAGTAGCTCGGCTTGTAGAAGCTAACCGTTAGCATTAGCAACTCCACAACATGCGAGAACACCTTCAGGCTTGTGTCTATGTGGAGACAAAAAAAGAAAACAGAAGCAGCAAGACCAGCATTTAAATGCACATGTAAGTTGATCTAGGTCAATTTAAGTAACAAACTGGGAGCCTTTATCCTAGTTTACGTGAATGTTAGAAAACCAAATTTTCAAATGAATTACATTCCACTCCTGTACAGTAGGTGGTGACATGCACCCTTTTCATGTTGGCATTGTTTCGGTTAGCAACAGAAATGGCAAACAAATGCTGGCAGGAGTGAAGCGGACGCAGTTAAAACAGGATCTGCACAATGGCTGAAGGAATGGACAACAACAATGCTGCAGCACAGCTTATTTTTTTACGTACTGTCCTGTTTGATGGTGTTACACGTGTTGTGTTGATGATATTATCAGAAGACCGCGTCCATAAAAACAACGTCAGTCTATAGGGAAAAAGATTGGTTTTCTGATGTGCATGTAAACGCGCTATTTAGCCAATCAGAGGCGAGATGTCCGAATATCAGGAAATAAGGCCTGCCGTCTTAAGCTCACCTCTGCTCGGTACCTGAAACAGGAGCACCAGGGCTTTACTAGAGATCACTGCACAGGTATTGAAAAAAATGAGTAAACTTGGTCTTTAATGCTCTGCTGTGAACGACTAAGTGAAAATCGTTCCAGCATCAAGTCCTTGAGAAAAGTCTGCACTGTGTATTTATCTTTACAAATAGAAAATCTGTATGGCAAAGTCATCCAGTAATGTTTTTATGGATGAGAATCACATTGACTATAAAAACATTACCCGCCACAAGTGCTGTTTAATAAGAATCCCTCTCACAATTAAACATGCAACTGCTGTTTTCTGAAAATGACTTTTCCAGTCTGGAGAGAGACTCATCCTGTAGTGTCCATGAAACTGGTCAACTGGAGCTTAGTGTTTGGGTGGACAACAGGAGGGACAAAAATAAGAGGTTGTGTTCTTTTGCAGGTGGAAGTGAACCCCTCGCTGGACATGGCGGAGTCTGACTTTATGAACAACGTCATGAGATGTCGATGCAAATATGACGGCCACCGAGTTTTCATGTATAGCTGCCACACTGGTGAGGAGCAAAACAGTATCTCTTGGCTTTATTTCCCTTACCACCTTTGGCTTTAACGTTTTTGCTTGTTTTACAGGTGATGCTTATAGTGCAGAGACTGAAGACCTGTTTGAGCACCAAAGACAAATCAACAACAACTTTGTGTAGCCCATTCCAGGATGTCTGGTGTGAAGGGCGTACAGTGGAGGGCAAAGGTCAACGGCCTCAGGAATCCCAGGGCCGTAGGGCCCATAATAACGTTACAAAATGCCTCGTGCTCATCTCTTCAGCAGATGTTGGCGAAATATTCATAAGCACTTCATGTGACTTCATCAACCATCGCAGGGATGTTTACATCAGCAAGAGGAACACGCGTCGTTCAAACTAAATATTTAGCTTCAAATTTCTCTCAAGCAGGGTTTTTGTGAATGTGGATTATTATTAGTGAAATCAGTAATTCACTTGTACATGTACAAAAGGTGAAAATGCAGTTTTTCTGTGACAAAATTAACAAAGACAGTGGTGCTTTAGAAAAATATCACTCTGAGTTAAGGAAAACTGGTGAAAAATAATGCAATTTTGTACATTTTGTTGCATAAAAATTAAGATTCTATTCACATGTTTGCAAAAACTTCCAAAAATTTCAAATGCAAAAAAATAATTGAATTCACAATGAACAAATTTTTTACTTTTCTATTGCAGCACCACTGGTGCTCTTAGGTGATATCTTATGTTCTTACATTAACCTCACTGACTTTCAGGTAAATAATGTTGTACAGCAAGTTTAGGCAGTTTTTTTTAACAGTTACTTTGGTGATAATTTAGTCTTAACAAATTTGTCATATTAATAAAAAAAGTTGTGCTTCACATTCAAAACGGATAACAAGAGGTTATTTTTTTTAAAGGAAGAAAGCACTTTATATTTTAAGCCGAAGTATTGATATTTACCCCCAAAGCATCTGCCAAATCCATAACTTAGTGTATTTATCTAAAATAAGTATATTGTGTTTTACATTTTGGAAAGTGAAATGTACGTTTATTTGTTTAGTCTTCCTGTTCAATGTGCTATTTATGCTATTCTTTAATAGTTTATTTATTGGAATTTACACTTACACAGCATGCTCAGTAAAGAGTTGTTAGCTAGTTTTAATCAAAACCTAATATTTTTTATTTTTTTGACATGATTAACCGGTAAAAAATTTCCTTTCTGCAGTAGTTACTGGACCAGTTCCATCATGCGGGAGAGTAATTGTTGATTTATTTTATTTTAGTCATTAAAACAATGTTAAATGTACAGGTTCTTTTTCTCTTTCTGCCTCTCTGATGGGAGGGAAAAGTGGCCTGACGAAACCACAGTATTGTGGTAGACAGGAAGGCTGGGTTTTGAGAGCGCATAAAAAGCCTTTTAATTACCTCTGTTTGGTTAGACTTAAGGTTACGGTTAGGATTGAGGCTCAAGCATGTGCTTTATAAAGAATTGTCACTTATGCAACCATGGAAAGGACAAGAATCTGGATTTCCATCTTTACACGAGCTACAAAAGAGATGGAGACTTCTAAGGGGGTTTAAAGAAGAGAGGAGGCTAGGATTGATGGAGAGAGAAAAGAGAAAAGGGGTCAAAGTTGGCGAATGACTTGGGCAGATGTGCAGCTTTTATATCAAAAAACTGCAGCCTTGTTCCTGGCAGTCGTTTAGAGACCACAGGCTGGCACTTTCAGCTCAAACAGCATGTTAGGGAGAAGAAATAAACTCATATTCATGCTTCAGCTGAGTAAACAGGGACTTTCTTTCAACTGATGCCAAGTCTTATGACATGTACTGTATTTTTCTACCATGATACCGCCTCATCTTTATGAAACCTGAAGGAAATGTTTGTTTTTATTTTTCCGACTGAAGATTTTCAGCATTTTTTATAGAAAATTGTCCAAATCCTGGTTTTGACCCAAGCAGAAGTCATTATTTTTGCTAAATCAGTTTCATAACGAAACCTATTTAGGAATTTTGTTGCTAGAAAGACAAAAACGTTGTTTTCCTGACTTTCTTTCATTTCATAACCTGTCTGTTCTGTGTGTTATTTAAAAAGGACATGTTATTCCATAGCTTCAGTTGGTTCATTTTCATTCTAATACTGTATTAATATCTATGCTGTGAGCATAGCACTGGGATATTGTTTTCTACGGCCAGTTTTGTTTAAAGCTGAGAGTTTGATCTGAATGACGCTGATGTGTGCTCTCAGGGACTTTGACCTCGTCTAAATACTAAAATATATAAATATGTATTTCATATGATGTGACTAGTTTGATTTTTAGCTGTGATGACAACAAACCAACGGGAGCTGTTTGGACTGATGGCGCTCTTAAAAAGACTGACATGTACCCACATGTTTATATTTTTGTTGGTTAAAGAATCTAAGGTATGGTGGTGATAAGCCTTGTTAAGTTTTTGCCCTGAGGGACGTTCAGATAACTGGATACACACTGGCTGAGTCAGAACCCAATCACAATCCATTCATTCATCATTACTGTGAATCAATAAAACTTCATCTCACACTAAGCTGTCTCATGCTTCCTGCCTCGTTCTCGTTAACGCATAACTCGGTGTAATATTCAGTTGGAAAGTAGTTTAGACAACTGCTGACTAATAATAAAAAAGTAAATACTGTGTTAAGTGTTGATTATTTTCAAACAATAACATTCACACAGTTTTTTTTTACTTAGGTCTCAGGAAGCGACTTTGTATTTCAGACTAAAGAGGCTCAGATGTCAGACTTTCAAATAAGATGCATCACGTATCAAGGCAAATTTGTGAAAAAAGGCCAGATGTCAAGAAGAGATTTTGGGGATAAGGACAAACTGCTAGCTGAACCTCAGACCAGATGGTCTTAGGAAAAGAAAAAACACGGAACATTGAAGTTGGCTTCATTTCTCTAAACAGTGATTCCACTGACTTAATGCCATCTTTCAATTGGACCAGTTCTCGTTCCGAAAGTACAATAACTGTAAAGATTTAAATGATTTCACAGTAAAACTGACCTTTTCATTAAGTTTTGTAAAACCTTAACTGTATTTCTAAAGTTTAATTGTCCTAAAATTGAACTTTTTGTTGTTGAATATAGGCAGCCTGTGGTATCTAATGTAGCAGGTCTGTGCCGTCTGACCTGATTTCCTGTGCAAATTAGTAATGGTCACAGAGGAAGGGTTCATTCTGAGAAAAGCAGGTTTGACATGTCATAAATATAGACACACACCCTTAAATTAGCAATGTCCAACCTACTTCAACGTGGGTTGGACATTGCTAAATGTGAGCTACTGCTAATGCTAGCCTGAGCTAATGCTAGCCTGATGGTAAACTGGAGCTAACATACATTTTGGACAACAGAGAAACAACAATGAAGAATGTTGGAGCACCACTTATGTTCCAGGATGTCCAGGGAATATCCACACTATACAAGCTCCACTAGCTAGCAGCGGGCCATCTTCTGCTGACCTTGGTCCACTAGCCCTATTTTTGAAACCTGTAGCGACCAGTCTGGGAGTCCGGCTTGACAGTGATCTGCTTCTGGAAAAGCAAATAAGTGCCGTCACCAAAGCCAGTTTTTATCAGTTAAGGAGGATCGCCAAGGCTAAGCGTCTGCTCTCAAGTCATGACTTTGAGACGGTGATTCACGCCTTGACTATTGCAACACACTGTACCTTGGTCTTCCTCAGTCTCACTTCTCCTGTCTTCAAATGGTGCAAAATGCAGCAGCACGCCTATTGACGGGTTCGAGAAAGAGGGAGCACATTACCCCAATTTTAGCTTCACTGCACTGGATGTCGATTTTAGGGTCCAGTACAAGGTTCTTTTATTGGCTTTTAAAGCTGTACATGGCCTTGCTCCGCAGTATCTGTGCAAACTTTTAGTTACTCACTCCCCGTCTCGGTCACTGAGGTCAGCCGACCAGTTTCTCCTGGAGGTCGAGAACAAAGAGAAAGCTCAGGGGTGATAGAGGTTTCTCAGTAGCAGCTCCAAGGTTTTAGAATGAACTCCCAATTCAGATTAGGATGATTTCGTCACTGTCGGGTTTTAAATCACTTTTAAAGAGTCATCTGTTCTCAGTTGCTATAAATTCAGTTTGAGAATGCATCTGTTTTTAGTAGCTTTAATGTCAGTTTGATATGTTTGTTTTTATCATGTCTTTGTGATGAACTTTTTATCTTATTTTTAGAATTTTTAGGGAACTTTTGTTCTTTTTGGCTTGTTAAGAACTTTGGTCAGCTTTTATGCTGTTGTAAAGTGCTATATAAATAAAGTTGACTTGACTTGACTAGCTAGCAGTCCTTGTCCTCTTCCTCGTTTGTCCCCATTCCCACAACCTGCTGACAAACCATAGACCAGCATGTTACCAGCAAATGTGTTTTTGTGCTGGTTTAGCTGGTAGACCAGCATACAATACTGGTGCAGTGTGCTAGTCCATGATGCTAGACTAGCTTCCCATGCTTGACTAGCATACCATCATCAAAACACATGTGCTGGTAACCAGCTGGGCTGGTCTATGCTGGTTTATTCAGCAGGGGCCCCCCTCCCCAAGCGGATACTTGCTGGTCCGACACTCACTACCTTATTTCTCTGCTCCTAACAATATGAGAACATTTGATTTGTCCCTAATAGTTACTTAGACTTCTTGCACACTCATAATTTTCGTATACCTGAAATCCTTTCAAGTTTGTCTACCCGAAGATACATTCCAGCAGTTGGACTGGTGTTGCAAACAGCTTGTTCTCCAAACTGAGAATTTGCTTAACTCTTCCAGAAACAAAGATGCTCAAAAGTGTCCAATATCTAAAAGGCTGAAGCCAAGCATTTCTGGTTCGGCAGACAAGGGTGGAACGGAGTAATCAGCCGTGTCTGGAAAGAAATTTTTCTCTCAACAAAAGTCAGATTTGATCGCAGCTGACACATCCACCCAGAAAGAAAACAGCAGAGCTGTGAAGTGGTCATTTGCTGGACGGAGCAGCTGCCAGCCAAACAGGAAAGAAACACTTGAAAGCAGGAGCACCTGGGTTCATGGAGTGTACTCACAGCATCCTTTCATGTTCGCTCTGCAGAGTGTCCCTGAAAACACACATTTGCCTTGATTTGAGTTTCTCTGAGTGTTCTGTTTTTTCACCTTTAAAGTCTAAAAGCATGCATGTTTGGAAATGATTCTGCTTGTTGTCTATGTGTGTGTTTGCTCTGTGGTGGAGACGTGACATATTTGGGTTGTTTCCTGACTCTCACCTCATAGCCACCCCCAACGAGCCTGACCTGGACAAAATGTTAGTCAGGAACGAAACCACTTGCTCTCTGGAAACATCCTCCTTCTGTGGAAAAGATCTGAGTGATTTCATCCCACTGGTAGACAACAGCGTCTGCCACTTGCTTTAAGAGATTTTGATTTTGTCTGCAGGACTTTGATTACATCTCCAGAGAGGCTCCTTCTTGCAAGTGCTGACCGACGACTGAGGTGAAACCCAAACACACAAACTCGTTGAAATAAACAACGGTAGAATAAAAGACATCTCAGGGGCGAGAACATATGAGAACACTTTGTTCACAAACTCCTGAATCCTCTCGGCCCCACTTCCTGTGTGCGACCCGTGTTTTCATTCTGTAGACCTCCTCCCACCCCCCTGTTGGGGGGGTCACAGGCAGCTTCACAATGAGGACTGTGTGTGGTGTCTGAATGACAGACCTGTCCATACAAGCTACAACCCCTCCACCTCGCCACCACCACCCTGACTTAAACAACCAGATGGTCTGACCAGTTTTGCCGTCCTCTCTTTGGAAGGCAGCTTTCCATGTCTTAAACAGTGATCAGAATTCAGATACCGATCAGGAGTTTCTTCATCCGAAGACACGTGGCAGCTTATTTATCCCAAGGGATGAGATGAGGAGCTGTTATGTAATCTAGGAACCTGACATGAATGATGGTTTTCAAAGCTGTTATAATGAATCTGCAAACAAGCTAGGTATTGAACACGTGTGAAGTGTGATTGACTGAAAAAAAACTTTATTTTTTGCTTTTTAAAAATTATTATTTCTGATTATACCAGTAATATGTCATGAAAAAACATGAAAATAGTTTCTTAACCTATCTCCTGCATTAAGGTTGGTTAATGCTTGACGCGTCCGCGAGGTCCGCACGGCTCTGCGTGGAAAAGTTGCGTCATTTTAACAACCACGCCCCTCCACCGCGCCTCCGCACAGCCCAGAATTTCCGCAACGTGCACCTCGGAAAATTTCTAACCACGCGGACGGACGGACGCAGAAAAACATGGCGGAACGGCAAGAACTAGTATGGCAGAGGTTCGTAAATAGAGACATTTGTATGATTCAGCTCTCAGAGATCACCGTGATCAACATGTTGTAAATAATTCTTGGAGAGAAATAGCTCGCACTGTCGGAAAAGACGAGAACGCTGTTAAAAATGCTAAAATGCCATGTTGTAAACAGTCACTTCTACTTCTACTATGGTGTAGTGTTGGATGCATGCCGTAGAGCTCCATGCTGCCCCCTACAGTTTGGGAGAATATTGGCTCACCGCAGAGACGAGCCGCACGAACCATAAACGCTGCGAGTTGTGAAGTGCGTTCCATCCGCGAGCCGCATCACCAAGCGGAAAGTGAATGCGTCAAGCATAAACCAAGCTTTAGCTTCCAATAGAAAATAGACGGTGAAATGCTGGGATTAGAAAATCCTCACATATCTATGTCCCAATGTGAATTTGCATGCGTGGCCTCGCGACCGCCAACAGGAAGACTTTTTTAAACTTTTTTTTTTTGCAGGGAGGAGCGAGAGCGGAGCATGTCTTGGTGATAATATAACAACAACAACAACAACAACAACAATAATAATAATAATAATAATGCATTTAATTTTGTGTGCCTTTCAAGAAACACAAGGACACTTTACAGCAGTAAAACAAACAACAAAGAATCTGAGTTAAAAAACAGCAAAAAATACATAGAAACATTAAAATTACAAACTAGGTAATACAATCAGTGCAGTTAGAAAATATGTCAAAAGTAGTGACTTTGAAACACGTTTTGTGAGCCAATCAGAAGCGAGGTGTGTGCATATCACTAATGAGTAATACTTCTGTTTTCAGCCCACCTCTGCAACCCAGAAGTATCACAACTTTTTCTTTGAAATGACTCATAAGGCATTGGTTTACACTAGATAACACTGCAAATGTACTGAATAAACAAGTAAACCACACATTAAAGCTAATTTGTTTTCCAAATTTGGCTGCCTTGAGTTGTTTTTCTGCTTTCTATTTGGGTTTATGTGCATATATCACAAACGAACCACATGGCACACAGACTCATCAAGGTGCTTATATGGAGAGATACGGTAATGCTTTCTCGACTAATGAATGCTTTGAATAACTGTCCCATTCTCTTGATGGAAAAACACAAATTTGAACCAAAAATTCATTTCAAACTCATTAAGGGTGTTATTAATAGGCAGTAATATAAAACACCTTACACTGTTACTCTGCTGTTGTGTCGTCTGTGTGCCTAGTGTATGGT